TTATTATTATTATTATTATTATTATTATTATTATTATTATTATTATTATTATTTTCTGAGACAGGGTTTCTCTGTGTAGCCTTGGCTGCCCTGCACTCACTTTGTAGACCAGGCTGGCCTGGAACTCATGATGATCTGCCTGCCTCTCCCTCCCTGAGTGCTGGGATTATAGGCCTGTACCACTTCGCCTGGCTCCCTTCCTCATTTTGTAAGGGAAGGGATATCAGTCACAGCTGCCTGCTCTTTAATCCTGGGGGCTGTGTTCCCACTGAAGCAGCTGCTGCAGCACCTTGGAAGCTCAGCGTATTTATGGTATACAGCTGAACTTGGGGGTCGGGGGCCCGTTATGGTATGCAGCTGTACAGGGAGGCAGGTTTGGCTAATCTCAGTAGGGAGCAGTCTTAAGGTAGCAAACATCTTGGGGCCATGAGGAGAGCCAAGATAAACATTTTCTGTATACAGTCAGCATTCACACAGGCCAAAGCAAGACTGCCATCCCTCTGAGCCTCACCTGGGAAAGGCTTTGCCCTCCCATGTCAAACAATGCACTTTCACCCAGGCCTTTATTTGCATCTTGTAGGCCCAGCCTTAAAGGATTTGGGGTTTCTGCCCAAAGCATAGCAGGACCAGAGAGGAGTTTCAAAGACAGCAACAACAAAAGGGACTTGTGTGTAAGGAGCAGTCGCTGGCGGCCACTGCTGTCTCTTGCGATACTTGGAAGACCTGAGGCCCAGGCAGTAACCCCATTGTACTGTTAGGAGCTGTGACTCAGAGGTGGGGCAGTATAGCCATGTTACATATCTTCAAGAGGCAGAAAAGAAAAGTTTGAAACTCAGGTTCCTGGACTCAGACGGTGAGCCCCACTGGCTTCCTTGCAAGTGGGAAGAGCCCAGCCAGGTAAGTCTCAGTCTTCCCTTATCACCCTGAGATCTTAAAGAACTCGAGAAGAACCTGCTGTGTTGCCCCTGGATGAGCTATACAAGTGTCCGCATCTGCTAGAGGAACCAAAGGCTCTCAAGGCACCACCCCTGCATAGATCTGCTGGGTCAGACCCTACTTTAAAGCTTACTCACAGCTGCCCAGTTCTGCTAGCCCTTTTCTCCTTAGTTATTCTGTTTATATTAATAGAGGAAATTATTACAGTAGCAATTATTCATAAACCAGCTACTTTCCAAATAAACAACACAGAGACTTGTAAGGTTTATAACAAACCTTAAAGCATTAGAGTTGGGCATAGATCAACCTTCTAAGCTATCTTGTCTGCTTCCCATTCAAAATCCCAAATACTCGCACATGTTAAATTTGGGCTGCTTCTGCTCCATCAGGCAAGTCCTCAGAGCAAGCTGCTCTTGGCTTACCTGCTCCTGGTTACCCCATGGCAACCTCCTGTCTCCCTCCATCTCTGTTGCTCTCCTCGTGGTCCTCCTGAGACCCCAAACCCAGAAACCTTAGCTCTGCCTACCTTTCTTCTGCCCGTCCTACGCTGTCAGCAACTTTATTAACCAGTCAGGGATACTAACTTACATCACATGGTTCAACATATATAACGATGCCCGTGGAAGGGCACTGAAATCAGCATCTGAAAACAGTGCTCGAGACCTCCTTCCTCCACCATCTAAAAGAGGGCATTCTTGCCATGTGGTCTAGACATCCCCTTCACTCCCCGCTTGACTATAGTTGTCAGTATTAGAGAAATTCCATCAAAGCTAATTCTGGAACGGTGTATCTGGTGGGTGATTGTACCTGCAGCGCTTGGCCTCATTGTTGTCCAGCCGGTGCCTGTGTTAGATCTTGCTCATTATGCACCTTCTCCATGCCAGGCAACACTTGGTCCTGATGCACTATCAGTTCTTACATGGATCCTAGGTCATGATTTTGTTTTGTTTTTGTTTGTTGGTGGAGGGTGAGGCAGAGTTTATGTAGCTCAGGTTGTCCTCCTGCCTCAGCCTCACAAATGCTGGAGTTACAGAAATGGACCACCATGCCCAGCTCCATTTTAAAAATAAAAGCAAAAGCCTTTGATCCCACAATCCCAGCGCAGGAGGCAGAGGCAGGAAGATCTCTGAGTTTGAGGCCAGCCTTTTCTACAGAGCAAGTTCCAGGGCAGTCAGGCTACACAGAGAAATAAGGAATTTTAAGTATAAAGAATCCTATTGCTGCCTTTGGGACAGGGGCAGTGGGGTTGTGTACAGGTACGCATATGCCTGTGTGTGCTCATAAAGGCCAGATGAGGATACCGGGTGCCCTGCTTTATCACAGTCCATCTTATCCGCTTGACACGGGCTCCCTCGCTGGACCTTGAGCTAGGTTGGTTACCTGTCTCTGCTCCGTCCGTTGTCTCCCCACTGGAATTAGAGGTGCACGTGTGTGGAGAGGTTGGGTTAGGACCAGGACTGAGGTCCTAGAATTTGTCTTGGGCAGTAGTGCTGCATGTTTGCCTGACTCCAGAGCACCTGCTCTCAGAATGTACACTTCCTCAGACACAGACAAACATGGCCAGTGGTTTCAGGAGCAAAGCCTCAAGGGCACAGTCACTACCGAGAATGCCTGTCTGCTACATGGACCTGATAAATGACAGAATCCTCTGTGTGCCTTGGCACCTTCCAGATGCCTGGCATCTCAGCAGTTCTCTTTTCCATGAGTCTCCCTGACTATTTAAGTAGAGAAATATTACAGTTCATCTTCAAATTCCACTGGACCTTCCTTTCTATGACGACTGTCTGAATGTTCTTCAAAGACTAATGAAGTTTCAGGTGTCCTCAAGTTTCAAATCCACCCAAAGTTTTTCACACATGCTCTGTACCCAGAGTGCACATTAAAAAAAAAAAAAAAAAAAGCCATGGCCAAGACTGACAAGCAAGGAGCCTGCATGCATCTAACCTAGGCCTTCTGTTAAAGTTGTGTAGCAGCGTGGTGTTTTTGTGGGACTCCTAACGGAGGGCATGGGGGCTGTTTCTGATGCTTTTCCCTTTTTGCTTTTGCTTTGGGGACTGTTGTCTTCCTACTGGGTTGCCTTGTCCAGCCTTAATATAAGGGGAGGTCCTAGTCTTCTTGCAATTTGATATGACATGTTTGGTTGATATCCCTGGGAGGCTTACCCTTTTCTGAAGGGAAATGGGAGGGAGGAGTGGATCAGGAGGGAGGAGGCCAGGGGAGGGAATGGAGCGAAGGGAAACTTCAATAAGGATGCAGTATATGAGAGACTAAATCAAAAGAAAACAAAACAAAAGCAACAGAAGGATTTTGGCCTGATTATGTCCTCTTCCCCTCCCCCACGAGTTCTGATGTTGAAATCCTAAAATCCAGCATGATGGGGTTAGGGGGCAGGGCCTTTGGAGGTAACTAGGTCATGACAGCTTTAGCTTTGTGGAGAGGATATTCTCTGTGTAAGAAGAGAAATGCAAGCATGTGGCACATGCTTGTAATCCCAGCCCTCAGAAGGCTGAGGGTTATGAGTTCAGACCAGTCTGGGTTACATGACTCCATATTTAAAATTTTTTAAAATCAAAAATTTGAGAACTGCTTCATTGAGTTTGTCACAAATAGTACTGTAGCTCTTGCCTGCAGGGCCAAGGGTCAGACCTCGGAAGTGTGGTCATCACACGCCTGTGGGGTTTATTGTCATCCCATCCCTGATTACGTAGCTAGATTTGGCCCTTGTCCTCCAGAAGCCGTGGTGTCGAGGCTGGAGAGAGGGGTCAGTGGTTAAGAGAATTGCCCTTGCGGAGAACCTTGGTGTAGTTCCAGCACCCATGGGGTGGCTCACGACCATTGATAACTCCAGTTCCAGGGGATCTGATATCCTCTTCCCGTCTCTGAGCAACCAGGTGCAAACACTGCACAAACACCCATACACTAAATTAAAAATAAAAAAGTAAAGCTGTGTAGTAGAGAATCATCAGATAGCTGCCTGAATAAATGTTTAAGATACAGTATTCCAGGCTGAGGAGATGGCTCAGTGAGGAAAGCACTTGCCACACGTGCATGAGAACTGGGGTTCAGATCCCCAAAACTCATGTAAAAAGCCAGCCATGGCTACAGTTGCATCTGTAACCCCAGCCCTGTGGAGGTCACAGACAGCCCAGCTTCCAAACCCTGTGTGAAGGGCGATAAGGCGGAGAACAGGAGAGTGGGACACCTGTTATCATCCTCCGGCCTCCCTAAGTACAATTCAAACTGAAAACAATAATAGCTGGACCCCTCTGAGCCAGAGTGGAGACCCAGGCTGTAATCCAACTCCAGAGTGGGGAGCAGGAAGATTGCAAGTTCAAAGCCAGCCTGGGCGCTAGAGTAAGACCCTGTCTTAAAAAAGACGAACAAAAATAAAACAAGAAACAATCAGCAGAACACCTGCAATTACATGCTTATTGTTGGCCGTCAGTCATTACTGTAACTTAATATGCCGAAAGAGACATTCAGAAGCAAATATCAACAGCTCCCTTTTTCTATTTGTTTTGTTTTGGCTTTTGTTGTTTTGTTTGTTTGCCTGCTTGTTTTGTTTTTCATTTTTCAGGGTTTCTCTGTGTAGCCCTGGCTGTTCTGGAACTCTCTCTGTCGATGAGGCTGGCCTCAAACTCAGAGATCTGCCTGCCTCTGCCTTCCTAGACTGGGTGTGTGAGCCACCACATCTCGCTTAACAGAACTCATCTTCAAGATGCAGAGATGACTTAGAGCACCCACACGGTGACTCACATGGCCTGTACTTCCAGTTCCTGGGGATCTAATGCCCTCTTGTGGTCTCCATGACCAACAGGGTGTATGTACAAATACACACACACATAAGAGCCACACACATAAAAATTAAAAAAAAAAATTAAAAGCAATTCTCTTAATCTAGCCTCACTGAGAAGAAAGAAAGATGGACACAGACTTGGCTGTCCCTGAAGGATGGAAATGTTTACAGAGGAGCCTGGGAATGAAAG